CCCTGCGGTCGTGTGCGCTACTGCCATTGTGATTTGCATAGCAACGGTCACTCACTCACTCCACTCACTCCACTCACTCACTCACTCCCTCCCTCACTCACTCCCTCACTCACTCACTCACTCACTCACTCACTCACTCACTCACTCCACTCACTCACTCCACTCACTCACTCCACTCACTCACTCCACTCACTCACTCCACTCACTCACTCCACTTTACATCCTGCTAGCACTGCCCGCCGTGGTCGGGATAAGACCACTTGATAGCTTTGATGGTCGTTTCGAGTGTGTTACGTTTTGAAGGTCTCATGCGGATCTGATCTCAAAATCCAGAGCCTCCAAACTTCTCTCTCCGCCTCCTTCTCTCTCTCTCTCTCTCTCTCTCTCTCTCGTCCCTCTCATCCTTGTTCATCACATCATCAGACACTTTATCACACACCCACACACACACACACACACGCACGCCATCTTACCACACGCACACACCTCCTCCCTCCCCTCCTTCTCATCCTCGTCCATCACATCATCACTTATACTACACGTCTTAGCACAACCGCCTCATATACCTTCTCTCCTAACACTTCGTTCTTGATTTTTCATCTCACTACTCCGTCTCCCATGTAATGTTCATATACAATTGAAATTTGTAAAACTTATCATGTGGGGTTATCCGGTCCTTTTATTGAAACAGTTTCAGGCCTAGACCTAGATGGGATGTCAGTGGATATCACGAGAAGTGTGTAGAGTGTAGATGATGGGTTTCCACGAGAAGTGTGAGGTGAAATGGTTCTATGTTTGAGTGTCCAAGATACAGGTGTAATCCCCGAAATCGTCTAAATATGTCCGTGGTGGAAAGATTACAGAGGATCAAAGACAACTTGTTGACCTTATTGTGGGATATCAAAATGGGATGGGCTTGACCCCACCGCCCCTTGGAAGATCCAGTCCCAGCTGAAGAGGTCCATGAGCGATGTTTTTCCAACCAAGGTCGCCAAGGGACATCAAACGACCTGACTTTCTCTCCGGAAAACTCTTTTATTTTTTCCTTCCAACAACCCATGTCCAGGTGGCGGTATGTAGCTGTACCACTCCACTCGCTCCCCTGTTTCTTCACCAACCAAGACCGGGAAGCTCCGGGTCTCCGCCGCTCGGCGGCCCTCGCCTGGCTCGCCAGGTCTTTGTGGGCGGCTTATCGCAGGAGGTCACCACCGAGGCGTGGGCCGTGGAGAGAGAAACCCGGTGGGCGTGCATGGTCAAAAGATCGTGACTCCATAATGTGGAGACATCATGAGAGACAGTATATTACTGCATATAGAAAGAGAAAGAGAGAAAAAAAAAACATTATACAGATCAGATCTATAATAATTATATCACTACCAGTTTGGCTTTGGAGGGCTGGGGTTTTAATAGATTTTCAGGTCACATCAGAATAGCCCAATTAACTATGCTGTAGGCCGGCGACCTTTTGAAATGCATGAAAGGAATGTCCATGTCGGTCTGCAAGTGGAAATGAGGGAAGCACGATCTTCTGAGGCATGAGTGGTGATGTTGATGAATCGTTGAGGTTGTCACACGTCACACTACAAATTAACAAATGTACAGAATTTAGTGGTTCATTTCATAGAGACTCCAATGTATGAATCTGCATGAACTATATTTCATGAACTAACTATCTAGTTACATTTGAGTGGTTCCAGGGGTACAATAATGTAACGTAGGCTTATATTCCATACATACGGAGCCTTTGTGCTTTTGGATGTTTTTGCATCTCTAATGGGTAGGACGGGGTAGGACCAACCAGTGCGCCGCTCGCTTCCTGCAGCTCTTCGCCAGCGATTTTCGACGCTTTCCAAAATCCCGCTGGTGACGCCGCAGATCCTCAGTGACTACTTCTCCACCTTCGGAACCCTCACAGACTCCGTAGCACCTTGGCGATGGAACGTGAATGAACTCCACACGGAGAGAGAGAGAGAGAGAGAGAGCGAGTCAGATGTTCTCCAGAGAGAATATCAACGTCGATTCTATTTTAGGACGTGGGTTTGATTGTTTTTGTGCTATGAGAATTGGATTCCAAATTGATGGGTTGCGCATTTGAGGAGGGTTTTTGATCATGAGAGCTCACAGCATAGCCTTTGCAAAAGCACGTCCTTACTGTAGTGCTTGACCGGCCCATGTTCTGCGTTCATATATTCTCTGTTCATTTGTGTGGTGCTTTGCTGAAACCAGCACTGCATTGGGGCGATAAGTGGTGAATATAATTTGTATCACTGTATCATGAGTCATGAGTGTTTCTTCAGTCTCATATTTATTCGGTCCACACATGCGTGCCAGACTTCGCTTTCCTTGAACTCCGTCATTTGGGGCAACACCACCCACCGCATCCCAACCACCCCACCCACCGCATCCGCGTCCCACGCCCTGCGGAAAAAACCGCCGCCAGGTGATGACGGACCGAGGCACTGGCCGCTCGCGGGGCTTCGGCTTCGTCTCCTTCGATACCCCCGATCCCGTGGATCAGATCATGGCCATGCACAAGGCGCCGAGACGATGCCCAGAAGAGACCAGAAGCGACCAGACCAGGTCTAATTGGGAGAGGTCTTTGAGGTTGCTGGTGCTTGGGTGCCGGGCGGGTTGGGAGTCACGGGTGTTGGGATCTTTGTTTGGTGTGTGCAAGGTGTTTGGTGGAAGGCAAGGTGTAGAAGAAGGTTTGGAGAGTGTACACGGTTGTTTTTTTTTAAGTTTGTTATGGAAATTGTAACTTTTGTGAAGGACGGGATGCGACGGATGTGCTTATATATATATATATATGTCTTTATAATTTGTTGTGTTCCAGTGCAAGGTTTCTTCTTTTAAACGAATGGGGCATTGGATCAGGAACGGACTTCTGTTGAATAAGCATCCTGAAGCATCTTGAAAAAGCAATCAACAGTAACAATCCAACCTTCCTTGCTGAAAGAGATGGTGTCAAAGATGTTCCATGCTTTCTGTAGCAGGAATTACATTTGTCAGATGCGCTCCCCAGTCAGGAGCACACCATCATGGGCAAATGGATTGATTGCCGGGGGCCCGTGGTGATTGGTGGCAGCAGTCTTGGAGCTTTAGATGAGCAGGCTTGTAAAGAGCACCAGTGTGCAGTCATCAACCACCAGATTCTCATCACTATCAACCAGATGCACTCCATACCCACCTGCATATCCCACTTGATCCCAGCCAAGTTTGGTTTGTTCAGAAATTCCCATCAATTCCCTGCATTCGCAGCAGCCGTTGGCCACCAACCAACCCTTTTGCATCGATCCGGCTGTCTCAGGATCCGTCTCGCTAAGGCAAGAACGCCACGCCCGAGGGCACCAAAGGAGCCATGGGCGGCAAGGGCGACTATGGCGGTGGCGGATGTGGAGGATGTGGCGGATGTGGCGGACCCATCAAGGGTGGTGGGACGCTCGCTTGGCAAGAGAAGGGACCTCAAGGGCCGGATAGTCCTGGGGTTCCTGGGTGGTTTGAGGGTAATTAGAGATTCTATGGAGTGAGCGTGTAGGGCCTGTGCGGGGCCATAGTGTAGCTTCGGATTGCTAAGCAGATGGAAGGACCAGTGGCAGGCCGAAGACAAGGACACTGTGGCCAAGCGGCTAAGTAAATTCATATTTATACACAGCCGCGTCGCGGCCCGTCACGGCGCGTGGGATGTCAAATGGGTACGTGGTATCAAGTATGAAGGGAGGTTGTGTTCTAATCAATGGCCCGATGGATCTCAGGGAGGCTTGGATGTGGTACCCTGAGGAAGATCCCATGGATTTTCTTTTTAAGTTTTTGTCAGCAACCTTGCACATCTCTGACTGTCAAGGACATTCCATGATGTTTGGTCATCTCCTGAAAAAGAAACACCAAGCGCCACACTGGCCAGGCCACCTCCCTGATATAGTAGGAGATTCTATGAGGTTTCCATCCCAGTGGACTCCTTTCTGCTTCCACACCGCGTGTGGCCGCCGCTTCAACCGGTCACCGTCGTGAAGCACCGAGGAAGCCCGGCGATTGGAAGTGTCCCAGTCCGGAGACCCCGGGGAGCCCTGTTGGCGGATCCGGAGACGTATGCACTGACAAGCTGGTGGAATTGCTTGGGTTTGATGGTGTTGTTTGTTTTTAAAGGAGGTGGTTGTAGAGTAAAGGGGGTGGGACCTTGTAGAGGTGTGTCAAGGTATGTCCTACAGCCAGGTTGAGATTGGCCATGAGTGAGCCTGATTGCTCTTTGTGAAACAAGACTATGTCCCAGCACTCGGCTTTACTGGTCGCTTTGGTGGCATTCGGAGGCTTCAAAAATGAGCTGTTGGACCATTGCTAAGCGGAACTTGTTAAGGACGAATGCTTTCGGGAATGTGAGAAAGAGCTTGTTGAACAAATGCAAAAAGACACTGGTGAGTACACACCTGTTGCTCGCTGAGAGTGTTCCTGGCTGGAATATATGCCCACATTGACCCCAGGGCGACCACCCCAATGTAGGCATCGTATGGGATGTGTATCAAAACAAGGAGAACCCCGGCAGACCTCGTAGAAGAATTGGACAGATCCAAAACCATTTGGGCGACGTTTTTCCTCCTGCGACTCCCTTCACATGCATGTCACGCGTTTCACACAGTGGTTTTCGGCACGTCAGACTGTGGTGCGATGTGCTTTGGGTCGAAGGACGTTTGCGCGGCAGCCCAGTGCATTTATGTGCGCATTCGTGACCAGATATTTAAACGGGTAGGTAGATTTCGGGGTGTGAGATGATATACTTGTCAAACCACAGAATTGGATTTCGCCGAGGATGAGGTTGTTGATCTCCATGTGTTGGTCTCCATGTCTCCACCGACCTTCTAGTACTCCGGGCTGCAGGCTTCAAGTGCGGGACGCCGAAGTCAAGCGGTTATGGCGGCGGCGGTGGTGGCGGCGGCGAGCTCAGCGACAATCAGTGGGAGAGACGGTGGAAAAAAGGACGGTCGCAGTGTGGATTTACTGAAGCTGAAGATACCAGTGGAATTGACTGGGACCTGCATGAACCTGGATGCCTTACCAGAATCAAGATGGACTGCAAAGAATCACAGCCAAAGTCGTGCTTGGAGGCTATGGCGGTTATTCAGCAGTGCCTCCGCCCACCAGTTATGGAGGCCCGTGGGATGTTCTGAAACTGCCGGCCCAATGTTCTGCCGCCCCCAAGTGAACACCCTATAGTTCTTATAAATGCATGCAGAAACCAAGGCCAAAAGGTGAATTCCTACTGGTGCCAGGTGCAGTGAGTGCGTATAGGGAATGCATGGTCAATCATTTGTAGCCAAAGATGTGTCCAAGGGAACGCAGTGGAGCGCATGTGTAGTCCCTGGTCAAAATTCAGTAGGGCAATATATATATATATATATACCAGGACCCTCCTGTCGGGGTGCCCTGTTTGGAAGCCTAGGCCGGTAGTGTGGGGTAGTCCAGCCAGGACACCCCGAAGGTCGGAGGGTCCAGGTATATACCTTTAAATGTTCCTGCTTTGGGACTGCCTTCTTTGCACTCATCAACTCACCACTTCTGAAGAACAAATTCCTCAGGTCACTGACCGTCACTGTGTGCGTGTAGCCTTTTCAAGAACCAGAAGAAAGAAGACTAAAGAAGACCACTTGTTGCACATGGGTGGCCCCATATGTCGTGTTCTCCTAGTCCCGAGGAGGCACCAGATTGTTCTTGGAACGCCGGAACTGGTAGGGCTGGTAGGGCAGTGGGTCTAGAAACCACCGGAAGCTGGGCGGTGCTGGGGCGGCTCTGTCTCTCTCCGGCCGCCTTCCAGGCGGTGGATGTGGTGGGGAACCTCAGGTGGTGTTCGGCGTTGAGGCCTATGAACGGCACCAACAACGTTGGGCAGGAGAATCCACGAAGGAAGGCACAATTAGGACCAGATACTAAATATGCCAGGATCATCCTGTTTGGGTGTCCAGAGGGCTACTTCCGGATCTCCAGACAGGACACCCAGACAGGATGATACCAGATGTGATTTACCTGCCACGTTCGCTTTCTCGATCCCGAGGTGGTGGTGCCTATGGCGCCTGGGCGATTGAAAGACGCAGACGGACATGACCCGCGGATCGGAGGGCCCGGCGCCGGCACGGGGTTTTCGGCACCCACGGGTGGTCCGGGTGCAGCACGGCGGTGGTGGTGGTTTGGGTGGATGAGGGTCGGAGGTTTCGAGTGATGCTCCATGACCCACTTGGATGAGAGTTAGATTTTCTTTGAAGCACTGGGTGTTGATCCATTGCATGGTCTACTGCAAGTGGAAATGGACAAAAAAGACGCAGCAATGCCCTATGCCCTCCCCCAGAGGGTTGCCCCTCATGGCAACCACCAGGCATCCTCCGATGAACACGTGAATGGACCCGAAAAGGATGGCTCGTTTCCTCTACATCGCTCGGTTCTCGAACCTGACCTGTCCAATCCCCGGACCTGACCTATCCAGTCGGGCACATTTACAAACATGTCCTCTACAAGACTATGGGATTGTCCACATTCCATGTTTCTTGGAGGGAGGGTTTGGGGCTCCAAGTACCTCGTCAGAAGGTATTTGGACCCTCCAAACCCTTCTTAGAAGGTACCTGGAGCCCTAGGGTTCCTGTTCAAATCCACAAGTTGTTAACCCCCAGTGTTTACAGCACCGCATTCGGGTCACTTATTGTAGCGACCAGCTCCGGCATAAGCACATTGTGGGAGGATAGCACAAGCCAGGACCCGCTTGTAGCGCCACAGGTGGAAATGAATTTTGGGGCCTTGTCACACGTTCTCACTTGTTTCAAGTGCCAACGACCTTGATTTCAAGAGATCTTTAAAATGACTCTCCTGCCAGACCAAGGTGGAGGTGCTTATGGTCCGCCCTCCAAGCGTTGTTCGCTTGTTTCTTTTTGTCGGAGCGGGGTTTCTCCAGTTAGAGAAATGTAAGACAATCGGAGTTCTGTATATTACTTATTTACTTAATATAGCACATCATTATGTAAAAAAACAAGCGGATACATCATACAGTATGTGCGTTTGTGGTGTTTTCACATATATATATATATTTGTATAGGCTATGAATAGTAATATGCAGCCCGTGATGAGTAACACTTTGGTCCCAACTCTGTGTTTTTGTTCTTTTGTATCTCACAGGTCATTTTGACAAAAGACGTGTTTTTGTTTGTCAACAACCTTGTGAACATGTCACCTCATCTCTTCTACGGGGCTTGCTGGCCAGTCTTGTTTCCCCACACCTGACATGGAAAGTCACACTGCTGTGGGGTGAACTTGAAAGTACCCGGGAATAGCTCGCCTTGGCCTATATATGGCCAATTTCATGAAGAGGGCGATAGAGAGAGAGAGAGAGAGAGAAAAAGAGAGAGAGAGAGAGAGAAAGATCAACAGTTGCTGGTTGGATAGACTCGAGATTGGTGAAGATCATGTGCGCCTGTGTCAGACATGGCATGGTCGGAATGCCACGCTTCCTGGTTGAAGCCTTCACCTGGTGAAGGCTTCTCAGCGATTTCCAGCTCCAACTTGCCAGGGGGTGGTGGCTATGGTGGCTATGGCTCTTGTGGAGGCGAACACTCAGGGATCGACTTTAGGTCAATCGTGACACAAAACATCCAGTGAACACATTGCCTTTTTTCAGACGCAACATCATTCATGGAAGCAGGGTGGGGACCGAGGTGTTTGAATCAGTTGAGATTCTTGCACCTCCATTTTTTACTTGTGGTTTGCAGTTTTAGCCAGATGAAGCACTTGCAGTGCTGCCTACGTTAATAGTTCATATCAATTACTGTATATGTTGTTTTGTCTGATGTGGATGCAGATGCCATTGCCCAATTCAGAAGAACAATCTTTAGGGAGTTACTGATGGCTAGAGGGAGTGGCCTGATGTCTATGCAAGCGTCCACCTGTATTGATCCCTTTTGTTTTTACATGTGTGTTTGGTGTCAATGTTCGATACATTCCCCTTGGTCCTCTTCGTGAAATCAAACAATCCACCACCACCAATAGACGGTTTTCCCAACTTGTCCGTCGGCCCAAATATTCCATAGCAATCACAGATGGATGTGGCAGTGGGTCAAAACCAACCCTGGTTTGCCCCTGGTAGACGGAACGGATTCGACTAAGGGAGGGTGCCCCTGAACCCATGGTTGGGTGGATTTGGTTGACCCTCCATCGCTGCCATTTGAGGCTGGGGCATGAAAGGTGCGGGCACCAAGCACGACGACTGCGCGTCTCAGTCATCATCCTCTTGGGTGGCCCACCTGGTACATGCTTCCCCAGTCGCCCCAGAAAGACTTTTTCTATTTGTCTCAGACGAACGGTGGAAGGGAACATGGACAGGAAACCCATGGTGTTCTCCCACTTCTTACGGGTGTGCTGCAGACTTCCCTTGAACCAATTCTCGGATATTTATATAGGTTCCCCTATTGCAGTCCAGGCACAAGCGCGAGTCATGGTGGCGTGCATCTGGGCCATGCAAGGAACGACGCACCACAACCGTTGCGGGAGTCACAATCAACGATGTGCCCGCTGCCCAGGGTGCGTTCCAGGTGTTTTGCCAGGTCGATGGGGCACCTTGGACTCGGACCCGCCATGCTGGGACGGCCCATCCAGCACATGGCTTTGGTTTCTCCCAGAGGTCGATGTTTCCCCAGGTCCACCGGTGGGTGAAGCACGAGGACCCCGAGCAAAGAGCTGGGTGAAGCTGTGACCCAGCTTGGTGCAGCTGATCGTACTGTTCCAGCTGACCGTTCCACCTTGCGCGGTTCTTCGCCTTCCTTCCACCTGGGAACTGAGTTAACTGAAAACCAATGTCAGTGTGTGTTTTTGTCCAGCTCGCAGCGCGAGGTGGCTATGGCGGCTACGGAAAGGCACGGGCACTTTCCCGCGTCATTGTGGGTGGATGGTTACCGATGGTTGCTTCATGTGTTGGAGGCGCTGGTTGCTGTCATGTAAAACAGTCTCAAGTCGACTGAATGTTCAATGCCTCAAGGGAAGATTGAAACAGCAGCGCCGACATATATGTTGGTAGCAAGAAGGATCCGTGAGGTGAGCAGCTCGACTTGTTGGAGGGTTCATGACCTGGGAAATGAGCGACCTGCATCTACTCTTTGACGAACACATCACATGGTTACGTGGATAGCAAGGCGCCGAAAGGAAGACTGCTTTCCTCACTTCCATGTGATGTGTTCGTCGGAGATCGTCGGAGTGTTTGAGGATAGCATGGACCACCGGTCGAGAGATTCCACCGGTGGCAGCAAGTGATTAAGAACACATGTCATACGGTTCTGTTACAATGTTGCAATGCTGCTGCTGCTGGTGTTGTTGTTGTTGTTGTGGTTGTTGTTGATTCTTTTGATGCCCTGTACATGCTACCAGCGCCTGTGACTGACTCCTGTTCCAAGCAACCTTCTAAGCTAGAGAGACAGGCTCCAACACACGCCGACAAGCTGTAAAAGTCGCATGCCTCAACATGCTTGAACATCGATCCATCGCCTGGCTGTTTGTCGACTGCAGGATGGCAAGGGATGCTCCCCATATTGAGCCTGGCAGCTACACCCCCGCGGGCTGCGCGCCCGGAGGGGTGCGGCTTGGTGAGCCATCGGTGCACACGTGGCGCAGCCTGGTGCGCGAGGTGCGCACCAGGCGCAGCAGGGAAGATAGTTGGAGTTGGAAAGGCTGCAGAGCTTTCAGAGCTGGACTTGCACGGAGTCATGTGTTCGCAGCAAGCTGGGAGGATTACAAAAAGAAAGGACATGTTATAGAACCTTCAAGGATCGCAAAAGGAAGTGCGAACTTGTCTCGGGATTGAGTTGTCACTCTCACAGCTATAGACTTCGAATCAAATCATATCCCGTTTCACGGCCCCCTGCGGATGTTTAGACTGTGTCGAGCCCCAACGGCCTGAGCCAATTCCAACCACTGTGGATCAGCGAGTGAAGCGAGGTCCGTCGCGGCCAAATCCCAAACGGACTCGTTTTCGGCACCGTGAAAAGGTGGCTTCGTCAAAGGCAAAGGTGAAACACCATGGCATGGCATGGTTCGTCAATGATGCTGGGCACAACAACACGCAGTGAGTCACGCAGTGGGTTGCATTTGTAGATGGGTTCCTTTGTTGGGAAAGTGGCTTAGCCGCTTAGCCGAGTTTTTGTGCAGATGAGGCTATCAGAGGAGAGGCGGACTTTGGTCAAATCGGAAGATCAAGGGGCGTGACTGTATTCGAAAAGGGCGACCTCCAAACCAGTCAGTGGAGTTTACGTTTGTTTTTGCTTTCACACTTCTCAAAACTAACATAGACCCTGGAAGAGTGTTTTCCTCTACCAACCAGTGGTTTTCGTTACGTTCCTGGACCTTCTTTCGGGGTGTTCTGTTTGGAGGTCCCTTAGTAGTGGTGGGCTGGGGCGAAACCAGCCAGGTGACCCCGACATGAAGGTGCTGGTGTGTTTTTGCTTTTAGAGGGGTCTTCCCCTCTTTGAATGCAAAAGCAAAATCGTGTTATTTTCTTCTCCGAAATCGGGGCCAAGGGATTTGACTGGAGCGACCGAAGGGTATGGAGGGGCAACCGCTAGCGACCCGGACTTGACCGGCGGTGACCAAGCGCGTAAAAAAGCAGAGCAAACTCGGTGGTGGAGGTTGGGTTTCCATCATTTTCCGTCACTTTGTTCAGATGTTGCGTTTGACATGCAGAGATTTGACTCGTTTTCGGGTGTTTTTGAGAAAGTATTGCTTGGGAACCTATATCGCTGTATTTATAATATATACGCAAAATGGTGGAGGTTTGTTGTTTGCAGTCATATTCCTAACAAATCTTTACGGCTGAAATCAAACAGCCAAAGAGTATGTGTTGCACTATAGTAAAGAATATGTTTGGTAATTGAATTATATCACTTCTTGGGTCCGCCTTCAATTGTTGTTTGCTGCACAGACCTTGACGGATTTGTACGAGACGGTCTCGCCCCTGCCCCTAACAATTGGTTTGTAGAGCTTCAGGTCATTGTTAAGGCAGCATCAGAACCCTCAAATTACACCATTAATGTTTTTTGTTATAATGACGCCTCTTAAGCAACATGTTTCCTCTACCAATAGGATGTCCATGTTTGCTTGGTAACGAGCCCCGCATCGACCGAGTTTTGCATCGACCTCACTTTGCTTGGCTTCGTTGCTGCCAACGGAATGCGGTGAGCGAAGAACGGTGTTCAGAGGAGATCCACAAGTAACAGTATATAGGGTCGTCGGTTGGTGACCCGTTGAATGGTGAAGGTAGCAGTCTGACGTTTTTCTTGTCTTGCAAGGCAGGCTTGCAGCTATAGGCAGCTTATTCTGAGGACAGCCAGCATATTCTCATTTTGAAGATGCGAAGGCCTCCAAAGCCCCGGAGGAGCCACCAGACGTGCCCAAACTATCAAACTGCCCTCAGGATATGTCTCACTCGTAAGCAGCCACCCCAGGAAGGCCACCATGTGCCCTCCAAAAGGATATGTCTCACTCAAGCAAACCCCAGAAACGCCTGCCGTGGTTTCCACGAAATCAATCGAAATCATGATTGTGATGGCACAGAACTCGACACCAACATCTTCGCACAGCCCCTCGAAAACCTGTGCGACCGGGTCGCTGAACCACTGACCAGCACTGACCAGCAGTATTGAAAGCTGGTTTCCTTCCACCGGATGTGCCATGGTGGAGATCTACCGAGGTCCGAAGGGCCAGGGGAAGGGCTCACTGCTTCGTTGGTTCGACGGACCACGCACCGGTGGAGGGACCTCGAACCGGTGTACGCAAGAAAGAAGTGGCGATTCTCGCGTTTGGGCTCCTGGCCGCGTCTAACGACCGAACCTGAGGAGATGGACCAGGAGCCCTAGGGCCTGTACTGTTGGACTTAGTTGGATCAGTGTCCCTGAATTTCAGTTACAGGTACCCACCCGTGCTGGACATTTCAAGCAGAATGACGAGTGGTCAGATCATTTCAAGAAAGTACAATTTGTTGATCGGAAATCGTTTCGATTATCGGCAGCATTGGTACTTGAAGGAGGGAGCGAAGACCTTTTCACTCACATCCAAATCGGTGACCACGATACTTTCTTAACCAATTGTATCCGCGGACAGGGGTCTATGTATAAATTGGTTGATAAGGATACAAAGTGAGCTGCTGTTTGCCCGATGTTGTTTTCGCCCAACTGGCGAATCAGTTCACAGTGAATTCATCTCACATGGGTTGTTTTGTGTTTGACTGGCTTTATTTTCGATATCGTCGATCGACTCCAGGGATGGCATGATCAAAAGAAAAGAAGTCGATAGATGATCGATGAACAAACAAACACACACAAAGGAGTTGTTGTGATGATAGGTCAATCATGATCCATCCATCAGAACACAACATAAATCAATAATAATCAATTGGTAGATTCAAACCATGGTTTAATTCCTATAACCCAGACACTCCATGGGACTGCCATATATGCCTACATCGACCCCTCAAACCACCCCAATGTAGGTAAATATACCATACCATGGAGTGTTTGGGTAACATCCTTTTGCCCTTCTTCGGAAGGGATGGTCATTTCCCGACCTTCCGACCCGTCTCGGACCGAGGCTGCGATCGAGCTGTGTCTTCCGCGCTGAGGGTGCAAGACTCCCGCATCCCGGGCGCTGGAATGGGGCTCTTTGCCGCGGAGGTGGTTTGGGGAGGGCCCCCCCAGCGGCAGAGACGGAAGGATCAGCAAGCGTTTTGGCATTCCTCCTATGAAACGGGGAGAGAAAAGCACCGTTTGGGCTGTGTTTTGATGAGGTTTGAATGACTCAACCCCCAAGGGTTTCAGCCCTTTAGCAGATCGGATCAGATCCGTGGCCGCAAGCGGTGCAAGCGCAGCCCGAAGGGGTGGACGGTGAAGCAAAACGGATGGAACGTCCAACAGAGGTGGGGAACGAACCGTCCCCAGGTGAGGTAGGGTCCTATGAAATCGGTCACTTAACCCGCAACTACCTCTGTTGGGTGGTCCTGGGGCAAACGTGATGAAGGTTATATATATAATATGAATTCCGAAGATTCCAAACAGCACATCTGTGTTGGGTGTTCGTTCGGCGGCGGGTCTATGACTCACTAGCATCCACAAGCTGTTTGATGCAGTTTAGAAGGGTGCTTCTTTTGGACTAGTCTGGTGGAAGTAGAAGGTAGAAGAACTGAAGAACTCTACTATTCTGTCATTGAAATCCACTCTTAAGCTTTCATGTCCTAACCACTGCATCTCCCCATGTTGCCGGTTCCGACCACCTCCTCGACCTGACCGTTGTCCTCACCCGCAAGGTTTCCCTCACTCATCGGCTCTCGGCCCCGATACCCCGCAGGAACTCCCGGAGTATGTGGTCATCGGCCAATACAGTGGCGAAGTGAAGGACTATGCCGCGACCTGAACACCCGAAGTTCGCCCGCGATCGATAGGGTCGGGGGGTCGGGACCGAGGTCGGAACGGTCCGAGGCTCCGAAGATGGGAGAGGTCAGTGGAGTGGGTCACTCCACCGGGGGGCTTGGGACAGTCCCAACACCAGCACCCTCGTGTCAGGGTCACCGGACCTGGTTTCGCCCCAGCCCACCACTATACGTACAGGCACCTCCAGACAGGACACCCCGAAAGAAGGTCCAGGCATGTGGCTCTCGGTGTGGATGGTTTGGTGATGTTGATGTATGAAATCCCCCTAATCAATCATGAATCTGGTTGAATCGCCCGGTGAAGAAGCCACTCCAACCGTATACCAGGTCGGCCTTCGAAGAGGCAACATGAGATCAAGTCCCGAGAGGAAGCGCATGCCATGGAAGATGTTGTTCAATCAACGTTTGCACCGCGCTGTGAAGAATGGGCTTGGACAGAAGAACGGACCTGAAAGCAAGTTGGCCACACATTGCACGTGGATGCAGAGGGCCCACCCAGAGTCCTTAGGAGTCCCAAAGAGGGCATCATACCCTAGGGATCCAGTCGTACCGAACCTCAGAAGGTACGACTGGCCCTCCAAGCCTACATAACAGTGTCTCCAATCACCTTCTGAGAAGGTTCTTGGATCCTAGGCCCTAGGGATAGTAGAAACTTTCTGATGAATGCAGGTGTTTTTTTGGGTCAGACGAGTGAACATCCATCCATCGTGCCCTCACAGTGGGCCCTTCTCCGCTGGTGACCTGAGGCCCGCTTCGGCGAGAAGGTTCAACGATTGGGTGTGGGAGCACGGCGCGCATGGAAGAGGCGGCAACGACATGTGCTTGGCCAAATCATCACAATGCTCACGGCATTTGGACAGGTCGGGGGTTTTCCTCAGGGATGTCCCACCTGATCAAGCATGTGGACATGGAGGGGGAACATGAACCAAAACGGTTTGCACTGGCAGACACTCTGTGTCCCCTGGAAAGGAGCTCACTACCTCATCATCCTCATGTACTTTCCGTTTTCCGGACCTCCCATATTTTTCCATGTAGCGTTGCAGGTGGACAAGGCGCCTCAGTCGCCTTAGTCAATGCGATTTTTAAGGCACCCTGGCCCTGGAGACAAGGCACCTGCTGCAGGATATTCCAGCAGCGTCAGCCTTCCACCTGTGCTGCGTTTCCAGTTTCCAGTGTGGTTTTGCTGAGGTCACAATCACTTGCATCCCTTCTACCTGAAGCCAGGGCTTTTGGCTTTGGTCCCAGGGGTGTGGAGGGACAGATTTGGACATTCCTTGGATT